ACCGATTCATCGATTAATCGAAAAAATAATCGACCGATTCATCGATTTTTAAAATAATCGTTAGTTGCAGCCCTAGTTGAAATATTGCACCAAAAGCTGTAAGATCTGCAGGAAACATTCTGCATGCATCTCTTTTAGTTATGCGGTTTGCTGTAAAATGTTTCTCCTACATCGCTGGTTTGTTACCTGGGTGGTTTTATCACTGAGGCCTCGGAGCAGCTGAGCAACAACGTGGACAGCGGCTCTCCTCACCTCGGCCTCCTTGTCTGTTTTTATCAGAGCGGTCAGACAGGAGCTAAGCTGCAAAAAAACAAAACAAAAGCAACATCAGGGCAGGTACAGGCAAGGCAGAAAGGAGTTTTCAACACTTTCATTGTTTTTCATTTCACAGCTGAGGAGGAAGTAGCTGCTAAGTGATTAAAAAAAAGAAACTAGGGCCGTTTCTCAATTCACAAGAATGCAAGTACTGACTCGAGTCCTCGCCAAGTAATTTCTTGAGAAGAATACAGGAAAATGCAGACTTGGGGAGGATGGGAGTATGCAGCATAAATATGGTTATATGCGGTTAGCCTCGGAGGTCTGCTGGCTGCCGCGGTCCTCTCATCATCTGAACTTTTTTTTAAAATTACGCACTATATCAGTTTAGGGCAATATAGTGACGCTTAAGAGTATAATGTTCTCGCCTTAACTGATCTTAAAACGTATTTTTATAAAACAACGGCAACAGAAAACAGAACTTTTAACATACTCTGAGCTCTGTGAGCGCTCCATTGAAAGCTGCTGCTGCAGCAGTGCATGCTGGGACAGCTGTCAGTCCCAAGAACAGACAAGTCTGCTCTGATGCATGCTGGGTAAATAGGGAGGGGCGAGAACAACATCCGGGGACTTTCTCGGTCTGCTGTTCTTGTGAATTGGAACAGTACTAGGGCTGAGGATGATGATGTTTCTCGAGTACACGAGAACGCACAAGTACACATATTGAGAAACGGCCTGCGGAAATACTGGGCCACTGGTTGCTATGGTGATTCCCTCCTTTTTCTAGAGAGTCTGCGTCCACAACAGCAGTCCTCAAACAAAGAGCAGCTGTATGAAAGTCAGAAATGGAAAACATGTTGAACACCTGACCCACATATTTCAACCTGTATGTGTTCAGCAGTTCAGGAGTGGGAGAAACACGGAGAAGGAGTCAGAATATTGGAGAAAATGCATTTTTCCTTCAATTTAATAAGTGAAACTTTAACATGTCAACTGGATCAAAACAGTAAAATATTCTGTTGAAAGGGAAATCCATAATGACGAATATCTCACATTCCCAGGCTTCTGGAATGTACGGCTCTTTCTGCTTCTGGCTGATTTAGGTTTTGCTGAGGAGTTCTGGAAACCCACCTACATTCAGCTCATCTGGCTCTGGCATGGGCGGTTCTAGACAGGGGCCAATGGGGGCCAGTGCCCCTGTAAATCATGTCCTGGCCCCTGTACTGAAGAAATAATGCTTATAAGAAATTCTAATGATGATATGCGCTTGAACAGACTTGGTTACTAATAGGTCCTTTGGATCTATTTCATTTTTTTTACTAATTATTTAAAAACAGTAAGGTGATAGCTTCAGTCGTATTGAGATAGGATCCCATTTTTCATCTGCTCAATGTTTTTTTTTCTAAACAAATAAAAAAAGGTATTCTGATTTTTATAGCTGAA